CACACCCTGCCTGAATTGGCTGCTCAGCCGGAAGTTACTGCCAATGTAGTGGTGATTGTGACAGGGTTAACCCTGAAGATCCGGTGCTGCAGGATCAGTGACACTGATGAGCAGACTACCTCTCCTCTACGGAGCACAGAACCCAACAAATCCCCTGGAAGCTATTCTATGCTATTCTATTCTATTCCCCCATGCCTCCATTTTGGCATGGATCAGCTTCCTTACTTAAAACATGCACACCAGTTTTGGGGGACTAATTTTGGGGTAAAAGCTGCATGAGATTTATGCGTAAAAATGGTATTAGCTGCCTTTTCTCTTTATAATATCTTACATAGATCTGCCCTCCCCCTTATTTTCCCTAGACCTTCTTAATTTCCTCTTGTTCCTTCCAATCCCCATCCCTCAAGAAGGCCCAAAGCATCCCACAATCCTATGCACATTACTCAGTCTCTGTGTCCATTTCAAACTCTCTCCTGAATTCCCTTGGACTCCCCTCCCTACTTCACTTGCTCCCTTGTCATCGTTTCCAGTCCATCTCGTTAACTGCAAAGCCCAGTGCGTGGACATTTTTCCTGACCCTAACTGGTTTTATCCTCATTTTTACTGACAGCAGTTTGCTTTATCTGATTGAAAATAATGGGAGATGACTGCCATTTTGAATTACAGAAATTTCATGAGCTTTTAAGACATGTGAGCCTCTAAAAATCCAAATACAATGCAAAGCTTACAAGACTGGCAAAAAACCCAAGAGAGCAAGTGGTGGTGCCAGTGTTAAAAGGAAGGTAATTTTTTTGATTCTTTACCATTTTAAATGACTCTGTGCCAGAAATGGTCTAATGTTGAACCAACATCACTGAGAGGAACAGAAATGAAGAGAGGCTGAGAGCCATGGGGCTCTTCAGCCATGGGACTCTTCAGCCTGGAAAAGCACAGGCTCAGGGGGGACCTGGTGGCTGCCTATAAGTACATAAGGGGTGTACATCAGGATCTGGGAGAACATCTGTTCACCAGAGCTCCCCAAGAAAAAAACAAGGACCATTGGTCATGAACTCCTCCAAGATCATTTTAGGCTGGACATAAGAAAAAAATGCTTTACTGTTTGAGCCCCCAAGACCTGGAATAGACTCCCTCCAGAAGTGGTGCAGGCACCTACTCTGGACTCATTCAAGAAATGTTTGGATGCTTATCTTGCTGGGATCCTTTGACCCTAGCTGACTTCCTGCCCCTGGGCAGGGGGCTGGACTTGATCATCTTTGAGGTCCCTTCCAGGCCTAATGTCTATGAAATCTATGAAATCTATGAAATTACTCAAATGTAATGCTCCACAAGGCTTGAAGGTTGATAATACTTGTGTGAGCAGAAGGGGGAGGGGAGAAGAGTACCTTAGTCAATCTTGAACCATAACAAAGCTTATCAAAGAAAGAGAACTGGTCAGTTTGTTAATCTCTACGTAATGGGGAGTGAAGCTGAAAATGTTTATAAATCATTTGCCTTTGCTGAGGAAGGAGATAAGAATAGCTATGAAAATTTTCTGAAAACATTTGTAAAGTATTTAATTCCAGAAAGGAATGCAATACATGGCTAGGCTTTACCAAGTGCATAGAAGGCTAGAGAAAAAACTGAATCCTTGATAAGGATCCCTAAGGAGAAAAGGGAGCCCTGGAATCTACAGGCTCCTGGAATACAGTTGCAGGGAGGCTGCTCCACTGTGCTGTAATTACAATGCATCAGAGCAAACTCAGTTAAATGAGTCTGCTGTAGTATGGTAATTACCACGCTCCAGCAGACTCATGTCACATGCATCAGCATCCCTGCACTGAAAAATGGCAGTGGAGGTGCCATTTTTCAGCTTGGGGACACTGATATACATGACGCTCTGGGCGCTTTAATAGTGCAGCTCTTGGAGTTGCGCTAATTAAAGCACTCCCTCCCCCCGCCTCCCAGGTCACATCTATAAACACTAGGGCTGTGTGAAGCTTTGGGTGCCGATTCAAGTTGGAGGAGATTTGGCCCGATTTGGTGGCAGAATTTCCAAATCTAAATCAAATCAGGGAACCAATTAACAGGTCCGAATCGATTCAAAGCTCTCTGAATCTTCGGAAAACATTCGGAGAATGTTGATGATTCAGACAGTCCCAGAATTGGAGCCAGTAAGTAGGGGGCTGCAGGAGCGGGGAGGGGACAATGGGGGGACCCCCACTCGCCCACATTCCCTGCCTGCTCCCCCAGACCCCCTGACCCCTGCCCGCTCCCCCCGGCCCCCCCC